TTTTAAAAGGTGGGGTAAGTGATTTCTGGTAGCCAATGTTGACATTTGATATCACCAAAACAAACACGCCCCTACCCCAAAAGGGTCTCGCCCCTATTTTGATAGCTCCGCCCCACACATAGGAACGCAACCCAGGCAACGATTAGTTCTGTGAAACAAAGCAAAGCCAATGTTACACCGTGTCTACACTGGACGCGAGTGGCTCGGCGCGACAAAATACTATAGATCTCATTATAATCAGTGATGCTGTCTATACTAGGGATGTAACGATTACCGGTTTGATGATAAATCGTGATAAAATACCCCACGGTTAGTATTACCGTTTCATATTTTAATTATCACTATAACCGTATTCGATTACTGCGATTTGAACAACTGAGGATAAATAAATACTGTACTGCACCGGGCTCATGCAGTGTGCGACCAAATGGGCGCATTTTGCGATCATTTTTTCGGCCCGTGCGACTAAATTTTGTGTGCGGTCGCACTGGCGCGACCACCGCATTGTTTAACTCATAAGCACTGCATTTCTGTTGCATGTGAGAAACCTCAAACGGCAAACGAAACTGAAAGCATAACGAAACCGCGCGACTCGTTTGAGCTGCGCAGCGCTTCGAGTGTAGAGCCTGGTTTATACTCGCCGCGTCAGGAGTGCAAAGCTGCATGTAGCAAAACATTTTTGTTTTCTTTGCATACAAAAAGTATTCTTGTAGCTTCATAAAATTATGTCACGTGGATTATTTTACAGGTCTCCTTGCTACGTTTCTGGACCTTGATCGTGGTAATTACATTGCTGTCTATGGGAGGGTCAGAGAGCGCTCAGAAATCATCAAAAATATATTAATTTGTGTTCTGAAGATGAACGGCGGTCTTACGGGTTTAGAACGACATGAGGGTGAGTAATTAATGACAGAATTTTTGTCTTTTTTGAATTTTGGATAGTTCTTATTGAACTATCCCTTTAATATAACACAGCCACCACTTACTTGAAAATGCCAAGACAACAAATATATTTTTAACTTGGCATTTTATGTTTATTTAAAGATGTAATGGTAAAATCAAAGTCCGGACATTACACTGAATGACAATTTTACACGTTGGAACAATATTTCCCCCATATTTTTAAATTTTATTTTCTCAAAAGTAATTTTAAATATGAAAGTAGACAATTTACTTGCATTTAAGATGTTTTTTATGCATTTAAAATGACATTTCTAAATGTAATTTGATGCGGACACCAAAATGGTGTCGTCTCGTCTTTGACCCTTATACGTAGTTACACTTCAACTACGTGTAATGGTGCAACGAAAAAATATTTAGTAGTGCGTAAATTGTAAGTGCCCATTTACGTCAAAACTAGGCTAAAGCCCTATTCGCACGGGATTGGTATTACCTGGTGACCTCCAGTCATTTGTAATTATTGCGGAGGTCGTCTGTGATTTTAAACCCGTGCGAATGCACCCCATGAAATTCAGAGGTGGGGGGTAATTTCAAAATCACACAAGGTCCCCAGATAATACTAATCCCGTGCGAATAGGGTTTAAATTGTAATTTACGTACAGCTGGTGCAACCGGCCTACAGGTGTTGTGCCGAATTCTGCACCCCTGCCAGATTATTATTACCCCCTCGTTGAAGTCGCTACCTGATTGCCTAATCCCAACCCCACCCCTAATCCTAACCCCTCCCCCACACCTAACCCTAAACCTACCAATACTAGGGGGTGCATAATCTGGCAGGGTGCAAATTTCGGCACTACACCGGAAACTAGCGACCAACCTGGTTGGAAATAGTATAACATCATAAACTGAAAGCAATCTTTACATGACTTACTTTTCAAATATTTTAAGCAGGACGTACTAAAAGACATTGCGGCCCGCCAGTTGCCCATCCCTGATCTAATAAGTAATTGTAAACATTTTATTTATTAATACTATTGATTTCTCACATTTTTATGGGCTGACACATTTGGGCCCAAATTCCTCAATTTATTATTAGCACTGTTAAACATAATTAAACAAATAAATCTGGCATGAGCAGGGGGGAAAAAAAGTTTTGTTTAAACAAAATTGTTAAATAAGCACTAAACCTTTAAACAGACATGCTGGAAATGCTAGACAAAGAATTCATATATGGCATGGTACTAATGGTACAGTATGTTGTTTGATATTTATCATAGCAGTACTTTTTTTTTTATTTGAAAGTTTTGTTTGACATACCGTGTTTGGGGGCACGTATATTATCGTATATCATAAAACCATAGTAAACAAAACTCTATAAAAGAAGGGGGTCGAATCAACAGAAGCCACAAAAACCTGTATCATCAGAGTACTTATGAAAATGTTGATCTTACCTTGAGGTTCTTTGCTCATAAGGATTACAAATATCGTGCGTCTTGATATATTAAAACATCATCAAATGTATAGTTTTCAAGCGATATAAATATTACGCGCAGTTTCTTTCTGTGAATCTTTTCAAACGGCCCTCCTGAATTTCTTCTTCTCTTGCATGTTGTCTGCTGTAGCGCACAATGTTACACATTACCGCCACCCACAGGCGTATATGTCCTATATATAGCTGTAGTGGCTCTAAAAAATTATGCCAGTCACAGTTATGTTTTTTACTGTAATATTGCTCGTAATTGTAAATGGTCTGTATATTTCGTCATGCATTGTTTTTCTGTAGCAGTTATGGTTAATTGTAGTCTTTTCTTTCATGTACACAGTATGAATGATCACATTTTGTTAAACTGTGGTTGAGGAGATAGATGCCACCATAATTATTTTTTTTTTCTTTTTGTTTCAGGTAAATTTGGACACTTTTTGCCATAGAGATGCCTGGGGAAATGTCCCAATTATTCGGAATTAACCCTGTGTGGCCTATAATGAGTTGAGAAATGTCACACAAGCAAAAATAGTGTTCTGTCCGAATAGCACGACCGTAAACATGATATTGATTTTTATACAACAGTCCAATAAACAAAAGGTAACAGATCACTCTAAAGTGTAATGTAGACACATGCATTTTCTGTAAAGCTGCTTTGAAACAATGTGTATTGTGAAAAGTGCTATACAAATACAATTGAATTGAACTGAACTGAATCACTCTGGACCCCTCACATCCAGCACACTCCCTCTTTGAACTGTTGCCATCTGGTCGACGCTACAGAGCTCTGAGCACCAGAACGACCAGACACAGGAACAGTTTTTTCCCTCAGGCCATCCATCTCATGAACACTTAACAATAACTGTGGAACACACACTATTTATACACTCATACACTTATTTATCTAACACTCATACTCAGTCTACATTTCAATTTGCACATAATATACTGTACATACAATTGTCGATTTGTATATTTTTATTCCTTATTTACTTGTTTATATATATATATATTTTTTTATTATCTGTGTTTTTTGTTCTGTCGCTGTCATTCTGTTGCACTGCGGAAGCTTCTGTCACGAAAACAAATTCCTCGTATGTGTAAACATACCTGGCAATAAAGCTCATTCTGATTCTGATTGAAAAGGTTCATTCTGAGTGAACGTTAACACAATACTTTGAAATATTGTCTGCTTTTGTTCCAAACCGTAACATCTCTGAGTCCAAGCAATGCCCCTGATTGAGATCAAGACCTTTATATAAAACAGTTACTCTCTACTGCAGGGGAAAGACATTTTTAACCCATATCCATACTAGTATAAAACTATGAGGACGCTTTTTGGTGGGGGGCCTGTGCCACAGTACAGATACAACACTAAATGCCCCTAATCTCAGCCTTGGAAGCTCCCCCTCTGCAACAGATCTGAATCCACTCTCTGAATCCCACATAGCTTTTTGGGTCACTTAGGCCTATCCAGATATAGGCTAATCATCGAAATGTTTTTACCACCCGTGGTACACTGTGTATTTTTGAAGGGTCACTTCGTGGCAAAAAAAAAAAGCTAATCGTCATATATCTTTGGAAAGTTGAGATTGTTGTTATTCGAATGATGCAAACCTTTTAAAGACACAATCACACTCTAAAAAATGCTGGGTTAAATACAACCCAGTGCTGGGTAAAATAGGGACAAACCCAACAATTGGGCTGTTTTGACCCAGCAGTTGGGTTAAATGTTTAACCCAACCTTCTGGGTAGTAACCCAACCGCTGGGTCACAACAGCCCAATTGTTGGGTTTGTCCCTACTTTACCCAGCACTGGGTTGCATTTAACCCAGCATTTTTTAGAGTGCAGCACAGCAGCCACAATCAGTGTCTTTGTCAGACTGCCAACAAGGCTTCATGCTGTGATCCCATTGTGTTTTCCAGCTAATAGCTCCCAGCTATAGTCATCTGACTGCAGGTATCTGTTTACAAAAAAAAAAGTATATATATATTTTCCCCCCCCCCTTTTTCGGTGTGTTCAAAGTTCTATCATTCAGTGCCAGTAAGACTTACTCTAAGATGGCACTCTTGAGTTTTGTTTCTAAACTGAACAAACCTCCGTGTCTTTCAAAAGAGACCAACCCATGCAAATACTCCAAATGGTTCAAGAATAGCATGCAATTGAATTGGGGTAGGCTATGCCTTTTTTAGGCGTTTTAGGCAAATTTTGCAGGAATGCTAAAGGGTTATAATAAACCAAGCAAACAAAAAGACATTATTTGACAGAATTATAATATTTATTCAATGAACCAAACATCAAGCAATTAAGTAAAACATTGCATAGGCTACTACGATACAAATGTTCCTGACTAAAACCGCGGTGCTGCTAAAGTGTGTCATCCACATCCAACGGTCACAGCCTCTTATTGAACGGCTTTCCATCCGCTTCCGTGAAATATGATCTCATTAAATATTTTTCCCTTGTGCGTCATTTTTCTCAACATTTTAACCAATAACATCAGAAATAATAACAGTAAACAATGGTTTTACAATTGAGCACTCCTATAAAATAATTCAGAACCTGTAGTTTTATTTGTTCCGAAAACGGAAAAAGTGCCCGAAGCAACATCCCAGCTGAAGATCTTCCACGTTTACACATCCGAGCTCCTCCTACAGGAGCCCACAACTAGGAGCCCACAACTGACTGCGAGCCTCATTCACAGGCTACACTTTCCTTAAAATGGTACGGAGGATTATTTTGAGTTTATTGCTGGCGACGTGGTTCTCCGTGGACTGTAACCCCGGGCCTATCGATGATATTGCAGTTGATCGATACTTCATTCCTAAAAGCTGCATCAGAGAAGTGAAATCTGGAGATTTCGTGCGGTATCACTATAACGGCACTTTTACTGACGGAAAACAGTTTGACTCTAGGTGAGATAATGCAGCCAAGTGTTCATTGAGTGATGTTCATTCCTTGCATCTTGCACATTAAAATTCTTCGCATTAAGCGATACCATTGCGTTTTGGAGACGTCCAGTGTAGGGCCGTGATTTTCTGGACGTGCACCATTGGAATATTACATTGGGATACTTTTTTTGTGTTATGGTAAAATCAGGGTACTTCTATGATATAATTTGAAGTATCTTTTGCAGTTACATGCAAATAGGGTTGTTCAAGATTTTTTACTTATAAAATACTTTTTATTATATTGCATATTAATCTATGGCCGTGTCTCAGACACTGGTGAGCTTACCTACATGGAAAGCATTTTTGAACATCATATGTATCATACGTGGCCAAATGCTGTCTTGATAGGGAGCTCACTTGGTTTCTGAGCCTTGTGCAAATTTTTTCCCAGTGTAGCTTGAATACAACTATTCTGAGGAGTTCAAATGATAGACGAGCTGCATTGTCAATAGAAATAAAATGGACTTGATTGTGTAAAATGCTTTTATTACTTTTATTAAAATGACTTTTATGACTTGCAAAGCTATGTATGTGTGCTGTGTGTTGGAAATCTTTTTGTGATTTGTTTGTTTTAAATGCAGCTATGATAGGGGGGCTGCATTCTTTGGACAAGTGGGCCAAAAGTGGCAGATTGCTGGTGTGGACAAAGGCATTCTGGGTATGTGTGTGAATGAGCATAGGAAGATCACTGTACCCCCCCACTTGGCTTACGGTAGCCAAGGAGCAGGTAATATACCCAAACACACCTTTTACATTCATCAAACTAAATGTGCATACTAGTTTATTTCTCAAACTTGGACAGTGGCCCAAAAACCATTTGGACACACAGGTCATGCCTAAAAATGTCTGGGTGTCATTGTATTAGATATCACAGAAAGTGTCTTCCTTCTGTGCCGTTTCAGGTGATAAAGTGCCGCCAGACACAACATTAGTGTTTGATCTGGTTCTACTGGATGTCTTTAACAGAGCAGACCAGGTTCAGACCAAAGTCATCAGTACACCTAAAGAATGCAAGCGCTCAGTCATGAGGACTGACTTTGTCCGTTTTCATTTTAATGGGACATTGCTGGATGGCTCTGCGTTTGACTCCAGGTTAGTGCTACTTTCTGTCCTAGTAGCCACCTCGAAGGAACTGCAAAAAATAATAACAATTTACAAACAAGTTTCCCGAACACTCCTGCCACCAAACTCCTGCTCTTGTTTGAGCAATGTGTTGATATTGCCATGGATCCACAGTGTTGACATTGTTCATGCAAATTGTCTTATATATGGCTTCGTAATAATTTTCTTTGTACATTAAAAAGGCATAAGAGAAAGTATTTTAACATCTAAATCTAATCCAGTATCTGAGTGGACACATATATCAGATGTATCCAGAAGTGTGTTCATTAATCTTGTATGAACATAATGCAGCTACAAGCGTTCCCAGACGCAGGATTCAGTGGTTGGGGAAGGTTGGCTCATAAAAGGCTTGGATGAAGGGTTGCTGGGCATGTGTGTAGGAGAAATACGACACTTCGTCATCCCCCCATTTCTGGCATTTGGAGAAAAAGGATATGGTAAGCAAGCAAATCATCTGCATGTACATATAAAGAACAACTAGTTCTATATTAATCATAGAGTTTTATTCAAATTTCAGACTCAGAATACTCTTTAGTATTCTGTTGGACCTTTCTCACGTGTCAATGTAATTCTGGGTTCCATTTCGAGAGGGTCTCTCAGCTTTGCGTACAGTGTAAGCTGATGCTTTGGGGAAACCCTTTTTTTCCTCAAATACTGAAGCCTTAAGTAAGTAAAGGCCCCAATATACTCAAAACAAAGTTCTTTTTCGTTCTTTGTTTAGGTGTAAAACAAAGATAGATATACGTGAGCAGCGGTATGCTGTTATCGAACATCCCGACGCTGCCCACTCTGATGAAAGTGACGTTTATATGAATATGTAAATATGTGCTATGCGCTTTCCTCTTAGTAACAAAATAAACACAACAAAAATGGAGATAACGGCAAGCATTTTATTATAAAAAAGCATCCGATCATAGCAACATGGGTATGCTTGCACGAGCTCTACAAATTAGCACTCCCATGAAGTCACGTCACGTATATTTACATGGCACTTTATTCAATATATTGCTTAAAAGCAAGCAGCAGTATTAAACATGAAAAACTGTCAGTGTCTCATTTCATCAGAAGCAAAACGTAATTTGCTACTATAAAACAGCTCTCCACTGTGTTCAGTTTTTACCCGCGGACATCTCACCTCCAAGGACTCGACAGACAAAATTAACCCAGAGAAGAGTTCTGCATGAAAGAAGGCGGAGCCTCAGCGCACACCCACCATGATGTAATCGTCACGGACCAATGGTAGTCCGAAGATGTTTTGCAGCTGAACAAACTTTTCTGGAAAGTTCACTTTGGCAAGCCGTTTCGAACTCCCAAAATGAACAAAAATCAACTTCGTTTTGGCCGGATTTAGTTTGAAATTACGTCACATCAGTTTGTTCTTCGATTTAGCTTGAAGTATATTGGGGCCTTAAGAACATAATTGTCACTGTACATGTACAATGAAACTCCGGTGGAGCAACCTCCTGATGCCTTCTTGATACATACAAATGAGTGATGTACTATGTACAAATCTGCACACTCATATTGTTGTGGCAGACATGTTTTCTTCAACAACCTCAAGAAATATAGCTTTTGAAGTCCTTATTCGGTTAACGCCATTGCATTGCAATGGCCAATGGTGCTTGAGCATGCGAAAAGGGGGCAGGAAAGCTCCCTATATAAGCGGTGCTCAGCGGCATTTCATCAAAATCTTTCTCCTTTATTATAAATGCTTTGCCAAAAGGGGATTATGGAATACGCTTTGCTGATCCCCTTATACATTCTGATGAAGAATGGATTGAAGATATCATTGCCTTCGGGATAGCACTCTTCATAGGTGGCGCATACCTAACTTCAAGAAACAAACCCGGTTCTCACGCTCCCTCATGGTAGTGGAGCTATAAGCCGAATGTGAGTTTTGCAGCAAAGAGCTCATATGCTGGCACAGGTCCCGCTGACACCTTGTCCTCTGAACGTGCTTATGATATAAACAGCCCCCTGCCTAAACTATCCCAGCCAAGGCGCTTCAGCCGCTCACACAATATATAACAGTGCCTTGCCTCAGGGCGCCATTTTGCCTGCTAGAGCGCAAATTACTCCAGCTGCTTACTTAAAAGGATAGTTCACCCAAAAATGAAAATTTTGTCATTTAATTACTCACCTTCATGTCGTTCCAAACCCATAAGACCTTAGTTCATCTTTGGAACACAAATTAAGATATTTTTGATGAAATCCGAGAACTTTCTGACCCTGCATAGACAGCAATGGAACTACCACATTCAAGGCCCAGAAACTTAGTAAGGACATCGTTAAAACAGTCCATGTGACATCAGTGGTTCAACCGTAATTTTATGAAGCTAACAGAATACTTTTTGTGTGCAAAGAAAACAAAAAATAATGATTTTATTCAACAATTATTCTCTTCCGTGTCATTCTCTGTCACCATTCACGAGAGTACCATGACGCAGGAGCCGGTGTTCTGACATAGAACCCACATGTTCTGTGATTTGTTTTCAAGCAGAGCATCTGGTTATGCCATATTTGCCAATGCTGCCGCAGTGCATTACCCTCCTATGATAAGCACCGGCTGTGCCATTGTCTTTCATACAGATGTGTACAGTAGGGTTGCTTACACTGGCCATTATATAGGTCGCTGACTGCTATATATGTCGGCGCTGCAGCAGTGCGTTACCCTTCTATGATAAGCACTGGCTGTGCCATTGTCTTTCATACAGATGTGTAGTATTGATTAGACCGCTATATGCTGCTGCTGTCGCCATGTGTTGCCTTTCTGTGATTAGCACCGGCTGTGCCATTTGCCACCGTGCGTCATCTTTTGATGGTAAACACCGGATGTGGCACTGTTTTTCATATAGGTGTGTGGTGTTGCTTATATTAGCCATGGTGTACACTGGCGATATCGCTGCTCATATCCATCTTATGATACACCGGCTGTGCAGCTGTTTTCAGTGCTCTTCTTCTGCATAGCTCTGTGTGACTGCATGTTGTCTAGCCCAGACTTCAGACTTATGGCTGAAATGCCATTCCTTCCTGGAATGAGGAACGTGCCGCATAGCGTTATAGTCGGAATCGATAATAAAGTCTACCCGCTATCTTACTCTTCTCTCAAATTCCTGCCGGAACCGGGAACACTTCCCATAACACCCGATGCACTCGCTACATCGTAAGAAGAATAGCATCTACACTAATATTAGTTTCTTTCATTCTTAATCCGAGGTCACTGTAGCCATTCGGATCCAGTCTGTATCCAGATCAGATGGTGGATCAGAACCTAGAGATGACCTCTACAGCCCTGAATGTCAGCGGAGACCTTGTCAACTAGATGAGCCCCAGAGACAGATCCCCAGTGAAGACCTTGTCTCCTAGACTGCCACCAGGACAAGACCACAGGAACCAGTTGAGTCCTCTGCACAATGTGACTTTGCTGCAGGCTGGAACTGAACTGCTGGTTTTGTCTGGCCAGAGGAGAACTGGCCCCTCAACTGAGCCTGGTTGCTCCCAAAGTTTTTTCTCTATTCTGTCACCGATGGAGTTTTGGTTCCTTGCCGCTGTTGCCTCTGACTTACTTAGTTGGGGACACTTAATTTCCAGCGATATCGTCAATTTGATTGCACAGATACTATTTAAACTGAACTGAGCTGGATGATGACATCACTGAATTCAATGATGAACTGCCTTTAACTGAAAATTGAGTGTTTACTATTGTCATTTTGCATTATTGACACACTATTTTCCTGATTAATGCTGTACAGTTGCTTTGGCACAATCTGTATTGTTAAAAGTGCTATATAAATAAAGGTGACTTGATTTGACTTGACTATTGCAGGCACTGAGATCACTGGTTTTCTTTGTGCTATTGTTCCACTGTGCAGTGTGACAAGCTGTAAGACAGAATACAGAAGATACTAGTCTGTAGCCTATCAGAATAATTTTTTCACCCCTTGCCTTAAAGAGACAAGCTCCATATAAAAGTCACACATTGCCCCATTTCAACGGTGTAATGCTGACTAGCGCACAGGCTTCAAAATGCCCCAGCGTTACGAGTGCATTATCAGGAACTGTTTGCACTGTAACATTATCTGGCATGTTGGGACTGCTTCACATGCACCCGCTTCAACTATGGTTGAAAGCATGCATTCATGCATGGGTTCCACACTTGAGCTCAATGTGCATATTGGTGACTTGCAAATGCTTAGAAACGCTGGCCCTTGTGCGATGGTCGCCTGGCATGAAAAGGTACCTGATGACCTGCTTGGAACTGCCTGGTGCTCGGCGCAGGTCACCTGTTTCTTAAGTGTTTCTACACTTAGTTCTGTCACAAGCATGTTCTCCTGTCCTCCTGTCTGTTGAGCTGTCTGTCTCCCCAGCCATCTCAATTGTGGGGCGGACATGCGTTGAGCGTCTGGCCAATCGAAGGAGTTTGTCGACATTAGACTCGCTGTCATAGCATATGCTGAAGACAATTTCAGAGGTGAGCCGGGTCTGCTGCTTGTTGTTGCAATTGCCTTGATATTGTCTATGATAGCTGTTTTCTGATAGTTTTGAAGTGTTGCATCTCACTGCTTTATACCGTAAAACTTCAAATAATAGCCGAGTCCCAAATAGACGCCTGTCTCTTTTAAACGCCTGGTGTGACGACAGGTTTGGGTAAATAAAGGCCGGTCTCAAATAGAGGCCTGGTCTGTTTTTTTAGTATCGGGTTGTATTTGATCTTCTCAAACCCATCAGATCGTCTGTTCTATGTTTTGATTAGATATTTGTTTAGAAATTTTTTCATTTGTAAACAGTTCAGTTCTTGTGCATATTTCTCTCCTGATTCAGATTCAAAAGACGACTTGGAGAAACCAATATTATGGATAAAGGACTCTTTTAGGCAGAATCAGTGGTTTAAAATTAAAAATGTCTTAATGAATTTGTATTTTACAAACAATTTAATCATTTAGCAGACGCTTTTATCCAAA